TTTGTATTGCTGTGGGGCTATTTGCACACCGTTTATCACTGCTGTGAAATTATTATATTGATCTGAATAGAGCTGCAGTGATTGTTTTTTGTAGATCAACCTGGAAGTTCCCTGACGAAAACCCAATATGACTTTTTTCTCTTTGGCTTTTGGATGATGCAGAAAATAAGCTCTGTGACCAAAAACGATTTGATTCATACATGCTTTGTTCATTATGAAAATCTTCAGAAACATCACCACCATTAAGCTTTCAATAACACTGTCAGTCTTTATTAAAAAAAAAATTATTTGAATAGTTTTCAAGAGTGTGATTATAAACACAATGAGGCGGTGAAAGCAGACTAGTGAGTAGATGAATTTGTTTGGCATGCTGAATTTTAATTTATGCATTTGTTAGCAACCGTCTTTTTCAAGAAGAGTAAAAGCTATTTAAAAAACACAAGGAGGAATTACTGATTTATTTTATGTCATAGACTAAAATGTGAAAATATCTTGAGCTTGTGTTCACCACAGACGATATTTCATGCATTTAACCAAGAACCTTTTCAAAAAACCCTTTGACTTTTTGATGGTGGAATTGGAAATGCTAAAATGCCAACTCATTTCCAGATTTTGGCCTATAAAACTATATCATCCCTGCAGCGCTTCCAAGTTTAAATGAACAGAATTGTTGTGCTTTTGTAGAGTGTACAATAACAGAATTTTCATTTTTGGGTGAAATTTAAAAGGGAAGTGTATATATGTTTTTTGCATCACTAGTGCCTCCAAATGGAATTTCACAATTAATAACAGGTTTCCTGAACACTCTCCTTTTCTGCCACAGACATACCGATTGTTTCTTTAATAGACTAAAACTCCATAACAGTTTTGGAAGTTGTAAGCTGTGAAAATGACATGATCTATGACCTTTATACAGTGGATGTCATTGTAAAGACTGTAAGTCTATCCCTCACAGCCTCATTTTCATCCACGCTATATGCAATCTAACCTGACTAAGTCTATTGGTTCGCTAACTCAATAGCTCAGCCGTTATTTGTGCCATGTTGCTGTGGCAGTCTGCATCATTGTGGCGAATTGACTGTTTTGAATGATTTGTTTCAATGAATCATCTCAAATAGCAGATTCATTGGTTCTTTTTACGTCATCACATATGGAGACATGATTATGTAATTTTTCACACCACCAAACTCTGCATTGGTAGCGTTAGCAATTTTAGCAATGTTTTGACAGCACAACAAAGCCACATAATTTGCTTGCCTGAAGTTGCATATTAAGCTGAGTTAGTAGGAAGTATTATCTAACTTTTACAAAAACAAATACAAAAAGACATCACCTAAGACACTGTTCACAAAATGTGTCTGACAGAGATCTTCTCAGCCGGTATCTGTTACCAAACCTCTGCCCTGCCATGCTGCCAGTATGTAACCGGAGGAGTTGCGTCTCCGGCTCCGGGGAGAGATGTGGGCATGGCCTCTCACCAGAATGATTAAGCTGCAGGTCTGCCCTTTCTCAAAAAGGTCACGGCTCTGATGGGTTTGACTTGTCAGACAGCTGGCACAGGTTGCACTGGCAGTGCTGAGAAAGAGAGACTTATGCCCACCACTAATCTGTGTTTTTACAAAACATTAGCATGTATCACTGCATATAATTCTGCTTCTTAAAAGCTGAATAAATGGCAGTAATGCAGCACTTATCTTTGGTTTCTTCTTATCTGAGCCTACCAGATATATTTTGATCCTGTTTGTTAAGAGGGTGGTGGTGTAGCTTGGGCAGAGAAAACTGGCTGTCAACAACAACCACACACCAAATCTCTCTTAAACCGCTCTCAGTGCAGTTCATAACCTTTTAATTGCAACCTACCAAATCAAATATCATTATTCACACTTTTTTGTTCCATTTTTGTCCATCTCTTTCAGAGTAAACAAGTGTGTTGGATTTTTATTTTAAATAAAATAAATGAATTAGCAAGTCTGATTCACTGATTCCCACACTGTTACCAGTGCATGAAAGCAAACATTCGTAATGCGGCTGCCATTTAAATTATTGCTGCATAAATTTAAATAGGTAATTGACTCTTCTGCAATGTAATTACTGCAGACATGTCATGACGCCTACACAAAAGACAACCAATCCCAATGCATTTGCATTTTAGGGGTCTGGTTTATAAAAACCAGTTGTTATAGTCACAAAGTGGATTTCTATCTCAGCTTCATAAATAGTTTTTTTTTCTACTCTTCTGCTATTTACGGCTGTCTAAATAAAGCTTGTGTGCTGCTCTCACTCTAACTAGTGTTGGTAGCCAACAAAAATAATTTTTTTAAGGACAGAAATACTGAAATGTCTAAAGCGAGCAGCCTTAATGGGATGAAAAGAGTTTGTTTATGATGTTATTCATTTTTTGATTGTGCCTCCATTATGATGGATGAGTAATATTTGGCATTTTGAAACAGGCCGCACAAAAAAAAAACAAAAAAAAACTCATCCAAAAAGAGTTTCGGTCAGCAGTTTGTTCACACCACCCATTTGAATATATTTCCATATATGTGCAAAAATGTGAGAGACAGCAGAGACTTAATGATCATATTTTGGTCAAGCTTGCAGGGCTTTTCCAAAATCCATGACGCAAATCCAAATAAAACTTTTGAAAGAAGGAATCTAAGGCACTGTTAAAAAGAAATTCCCTTCTCTCATCACATTATCATGAAGATGTAAGATCAGATCGCTTCTAGACTTTTATGGAAAACTAAAGCTACAATGTAAAAATATAAAAAAAAGATAAATTTGAAGTTGTAAATAAAACATTTAACATTAACATAAAAAAAATTACTGGAGTATGTTTTACAAGAAATACGATTTCAGTGCTGTTTTTGTAATTAATTGTGAATTTTAATAACAATTTCTGAGTGAAAATTGTTTCTACACCAATCTTTTTTCAGTGTATAGAAATTAAGAACTGGTAACACATTTGGCTCAAAGTGAATGCAGATAAAATGTTATTTATACACATACAGTTTTATTGAATCTTGTTTTCATAGCGGGACATGTGAAATTAATTTTACACTGAAGACTGAAGTATCTTGACCTGTGCATTATTATATTATATTTGAGAGACTGAAATGTATTTTTTCTCTCTCTAATTTTGCACCTTTTCTGCAAATGGTTGAATTGATGCAATGCATCAAGGCCATTTGTCCCATTGTGATCTACCTGCAGTAACATCCCCTTGGAGCTAGAGGGAGCTACTGCAACAGATTACACTGACCCCATGCTTGCGTTGGACTCAATCTAAAGAGAATTATTAATAAATCATTGGCATATGTACAGCACTGTAGTGTGACAGGAAATGTGAATGAAATATGTCCCATTACCATTTACAAACAGTCATAACACCCATACATATACTGATTTAAAAATAAGAGGTGAATATATAGGTCACAGTATTATTCACATAAAGTTAGCAGATTAATAGTGCTGAATGTCTGCGTGACATAAACCCAAGATGTTGTAATAGTGGCACTGAATATTGTTTTAGATAACTGACATCAATTTACAATGAAAACATAATTATGAGGAGAATGATGATGTAATTGAGTGATGTTATTATTGTTTGATGTGCTTGACAGGCTATTATTGGCAAAACATTACAGTTGGTTTATCATATCATACAAATATAGTGAAACAACGTGTGTGTTTATTAGCCATGTAGTCCCAGTACTTTCCCAGTTCAGTCTGCTGTACTCATTTCAGTCTAGAAGTCTCAGGAAAACCAAAGCTTACAAACTCAGACCGCAGTCAGTCTAAATTAGAGCATCTGTTTTAGACTCCACCCATCAACCCACTGATTCAACATACTACCCTGCCTGCAAAATGCTCTTATTTCCTCCCCCCTCAGACTTTCATTTAAAATGTTCATTGTACAAATGTACAGTTTTACAAACTGTTTGAGGCTTAATTGCAGGCTTATTTTAAGTAAAAATAAAATGGGTGCCACCGTGACAACCTGTGATGTGTGATTTAAATTTAATTATTGACTAAGAAAAAATAGCTGAAATCCTAGAAATGGTAGAATTGAAATAGCAAAATGGTTTAAGTTGATGGAAACAAAAATGCTGATATACCATAATGATGGGTCTTCATTTTCAATTTAATATACTTATGGTAAAACCTATACATCTGCACTATGTATTAAAAAAAGTGAAAGTGAAAGTAACATGTGGCCAAGTATGGTGACCCATACTCGGAATTAGTGCTCTGCATTTATCCCATCCAAAGTGCACACACACAGCAGTGAACACGCACCCGGAGCAGTGGGCAGCCATTTTTTTGCTGCGGCACCCGGGGAGCTGTTGGGGGCTCGGTGCCTTGCTCAAGGGCACCTCAGTCGTGGTATTGAAGGTGGAAGAGAGCGCTGTACATTCACTCCCCCCACTGCTCTTATTATTCAAAATATCAATAACAGTAAACTAACAATATTGTAAATTGAGAAGACAGGTAATTTAATAAATAGTATACAATAACAGAGCAGATTAAGCTGTTTTGTTAAACTGTGTCACTTTGTTTTATTCCCATCATTTCATATATTTGTTTACCTCGCCTATTTATTTTTTGTGTTGTCTATTTTAAGAACTTTGTAGACTTTGACAGTATTGAAAATGATGACAGTCATGCCAGTAAAGCTGTGTCCATAAATTAAATAAATAGCATCTAATAAATCAAAGTTTAATTACATAAATAAATATAATGAATTAATTAAATAACAGATTAGTGTGATAAATTACTATGAATAAAGTAAAGTTTACAAATAAAACATTAATAATAAAAAGATCAGGTGTTTACAAATATAAATAGTAATATTATAAGTACAGTGACTGTCTCTCTACAGCAGTGGGGAGTGAAGGCTGGTTCTTGGAAGAGCCACAGCCTGCGGACGGAGTCAGTCACATTCTTGGCTGGGATTCAATGACTGAGCCAGACACACACAAACACTGAGCGAGAGAGAGAGGGGGAGAGCGAGCGAGACTGTGCTCACTGACTCAGTCATACTGAACTGCAGGGGCAGAGGAGTGGAGGCGACGCGCCGTGTCCGGCTGCAGCGATCTCTACTCGCAAGGAAAAATACGGATTTAAAGTTGGCGGATTGTGTATTCGACTCCTGAATTTGACGTGGGACAAGTTCGGCTCCCCCGTGGGATAGTTTTGCTGCAACTTGCGCGCTTTTGCTTGTGTTACACTTGAGTTTTCTGTACGCGTCTGTCTGTGGATATGGACAGGAGAGAGCCCGCTGCAGGGGAAGAAGACGCGCCGGTGGAAACCTTCGTCTGAGCGGGGATTTGATGAAGCCCTGTCGGCCTTCTTCTGCTTGTTTTCACAGACTTGGATTTCCAGACGCGGACCCAGGACCTTTGAGTCGTATTTCTTGCCAGAAGCTCGGTTTCAACGACAACGCGGTGCGCGAAACATGGAAACAGTAACGCGACAGAGTTTCCAGCCTCACCCGGGACTGCAACAAACTCTCAAACAGTTTCACCTGAGCTCCATGAGCTCTCTCGGCGGACCGGCCGCATTCTCGGCCAGATGGCAACACGACCTGCTCTTCAAAAAGGACGGCAAAGACGTCCCGGAGCCCGTGCTGCACCTCCCCCCCATGCAGCCTCCTCCGGTGATGCCCGGGCCGCTCTTCATCCCGTCTGACCGCTCCACCGAGAGGTGCGAGACGGTCCTGGAGGGCGAGACGATCTCGTGCTTCGTGGTGGGCGGCGAAAAGCGCCTGTGCCTGCCGCAGATCCTCAACACGGTGCTGCGGGATTTCTCGCTCCAGCAGATCAACTCGGTGTGCGACGACCTGCACATCTACTGCTCGCGCTGCACCGCCGACCAGCTGGAGATCCTGAAGGTGATGGGCATCCTGCCGTTCTCCGCGCCCTCCTGCGGACTCATCACCAAGACGGACGCGGAGCGCCTGTGCAACGCGCTCATCTACGGGGGGACGTACCCGCCGCACTCCAAGAAGGAGCTGTACGGCTCCATCGAGCTGGAGCTCAGCGAGAAGAGCTTCAAGATCTATCACGAGTGCTTCGGGAAGTGTAAGGGTCTGCTGGTCCCGGAGCTCTACACGAGTCCCAACGCGCCCTGCATCCAGTGCATGGACTGCAGGTTCATGTACCCGACCCAGAAATTCGTGGTGCACAGTCACAAATCGCTGGAGAACAGGACTTGCCATTGGGGCTTTGACTCGGCCAACTGGAGGGCGTATGTCCTCCTGAGCCCGGATTACACGGGGAAAGAGGAGAAAGCACGTCTGGAGCATCTCCTAGATGACATTAAGGAGAAATTTGACTTCGCCAATAAATACAAGCGGAAAGCATCACGGGTGAGCCAGTTTGTTGCATTTTGCGCTGCATCAGGGTGTTTAAGTTAAAACTGTTTACGTTTTCTTCTAGTGTACTGCAAGTGTCAGATGTCCATGACAAGCCGTTTCATCTCTTTAAACTAACTAGTGCCTGTGTTACTACTAGTTTCTGCTCTAGTAGTAAGCCAATAACGACTACCATCTTTTCCAATTTCATTAACTTTTCATTCTATACATTTTGTAATGGTGCCTATTATTCATTGCAAACTAGTACTTCTCAGCAGTGGCAAGCATTTTTGCTTCAGATGCCAACTATTCCTTTTCCCATTTATACTGGCACCTATTTCAGTTTCACTATGTATCCATATTAATTTTGGCTTACTAGAAATAGTTCAGCTACTAGTATCTGTGACAATTTTCATAGAATTAGTTGGATCATTCTCATTTACTAGACATTCTGACTAGTCATTGCATCTTGCAATTAAAAAAAGCAAACTCGAAACTTGTGATGTAAGCAATTAGAGAAATTGAAAATATTCTACTCCTTTTTGGATTACTTATTAGTAGTCCAAAAAAAGTATCAGAAGCAGAAAAATAGATATTGTTAAAATGGCTTGCCATAGTCGTCTTCAGATGAATGCTTGGAGAAAAGCCAAGGGTGTCAGTTCTTTGATGACACAAACTTCAGACTCAACAGTAAGTAGTTATTTGGCAGATGTACAGTGCACTTCTTATAGGGACAGTCCCCTTGGCACAACCTGAGGTTAAGTGCTCTGGGGCACTGTGGTGATGTCCATGAATAACCTCTGCTGGTATTAAAGCAACAATCTTAAATTTGGCAGACTAGAGGTTTAAAGCGCTAAGCCACACCACCAAGGTGAAATTTGTATGTCTTAGGTTTTGCGTTGGCATATTCCAAGTAGTGTCAGCTTCCCTCCTTAGATGAGCACTTGGAAAGGGGCCAAGAGTGTCAGTTCTTTGGTGACCCAGTCTTCAGACTCCAGAGACTATCAAGATATGGGTTTCGCAGTCCAAATGTTACAACCTGATATCCGGGAGAGGGGTGAGATGTGGATTTTGCGGGCGGACGTTGAGATAGAGTAGCCGTCACAGTGGCCTAAATTTAATGACATGAAATATTTAACTTGAGCAGACCAGTGCAAAAAATCACAGATAGCATTTCTTGGTTTCAGACTCAACAGTAAGTAGTTATTTGGCAGATGTACAGTGCACTTCTTATAGGGACAGTCCCCTTGGCACAACCTGAGGTTAAGTGCTCTGGGGCACTGTGGTGATGTCCATGAATAACCTCTGCTGGTATTAAAGCAACAATCTTAAATTTGGCAGACTAGAGGTTTAAAGCGCTAAGCCACACCACCAAGGTGAAATTTGTATGTCTTAGGTTTTGCGTTGGCATATTCCAAGTAGTGTCAGCTTCCCTCCTTAGATGAGCACTTGGAAAGGGGCCAAGAGTGTCAGTTCTTTGGTGACCCAGTCTTCAGACTCCAGAGACTATCATGATATTGGTTTCCCAGTCCAAATGTTACAACCTGATATCCGGGAGAGGGGTGAGATGTGGATTTTGCGGGCGGACGTTGAGATAGAGTAGCCGTCACAGTGGCCTAAATTTAATGGCATGAAATATTTAACTTGAGCAGACCAGTGCAAAAAATCACAGATAGCATTTCTTGGCGCTTTCCACATGCTGTATTTAATTGACCAGTAACTAACCCTCAGTGTCATGACCTCTGTCCCATTGGCCTTTACTGTAGATACAGTGCTTAGTGTGTAAACAAACAATCATTAAGAGCCATTAAAGGCCAGGGCGCTTAGTTTTCAGCTCTCTCTCTCTCCCTCTCTCTGTCTAGTGCTTGTTTTTTATCATCTCGTTCCTCCATCTGTCTCTCTCGAGCCCAGCATGACTTCCACATGTCCCACGGCAACGGCGTCATGTTATGGTAATTCCGAAATGGGTCGTTTAGCTATCACAGGTACTTGACAGTGGATGTGTTTTTAATGATCGGGCCATTGAGGGTTTAATCATGGGACTGCTGAGGGAAAACATCATGCTCTCTGAGCTGTTTGCTGCTTAACTTAAATATGCATCATAAAGTTCATTTTGGGGTATTTTTAGAAGGAATAATCCAATAAAGCAGTCTCAGGCAGGTTGTTTTATGTTTATCTGCTTTGGGTTGTCTCCAGTCTCGGGTTACTCGCATGTGTGGCGGCTCTTCTTACCCTTGGGGCTCTAATGCTTGACTCTTGCAGCAGACAGGCTCCTGTTTGTGAGGTAGAGGATTAGAGGAAAAGTTTTTTAGTAGTGTGCCCCCCTCCAATACACACACACACACACAAACACAAACACAAACACTCAATGAATGGCAGGCCTGGTCATTTGCATGAACTGTTTTCCCTGAATGGAGCTGATGATGCAGGGATTGGAGTATTGTGGTGGAAACGGAATATATGAACCAACAAAGAGGTGCATTCACCAACATCTCCGCCCTCCCATCTCTCTGTGATCAGCCCTCCACCACCTCCCCCACCCACCAGCTCTCACCCAGTTACTTTCCCTGTAAAGTGGAGTGAGAGAATGTAAACCTAGGCCCGCGCTCCAGCGTGTTTGCACACATTTGCCATTTTCTGTCTCTTTTTGCACCGACGATGTGTGTCATAAGTGCTTTGCCGATTGAATGGGTCCTTACGGTGAATGACGTTGCCTCGTTAACATCGAGCTGTTTCCCTCGGTCTCAAGTGAGACCAAAATGTCCCGGAGCTCTCTGCATTCTCACATTATCAGACCCCCCACAGCAGGCTTTTTATTCCTCTCAAGAGCTTTCCTGCCTCTCACCACACACAAGAGGGAACACTCTCAAACCGTCTGGAAACGGAAGTGGAATATATCTGTATATCCATCTAGAGAGAGGGAGATTCTGTGTATTCCAGGAAGAGTCGGCGATTTGATATTGATGACTTCATAATGGCCTCCACACAATTTCATTTGCCGCTAAGATGTTTGTAGAATAAGACTGAGGCCTGAAATGTAATCGATCCAACTCTATGCAAATACTTGTAGATATGCTAGTTTGATTTCATATTGTGTCAAGGGGGTCGGAAATAACTTTGAATGGTTTTGAAATGTCTCCTATGCTCAAGTAAAAACAGTTTTCTAATATATTGTAAAATGCAATTAATTCATGTGATGGCAAAGCCAATTTTTTAGCAGCCATTACTCCAATCTTCAGTGTAACATGATCCTTCAGAAATCAAGCTAAAATGCTGATTAGGTGCTTTAGAAACATTTCTTATCATTATCAATGTTGAAAAAAGTTGTGCTGCTAAAAACTTTTGTGGAAATTGGGATATTTTTTTCAGAATTCTTTGAAAATTAAAAGTCCAAAATAATTTTAAAATAGATTTTTGTTTGCTTTACTGTCAGTTTAATTCATTCTTAATAAAAATAGTAATTTATTTTTAAAAATATAGATATGCATTTGCAACCTTGCATAAGAAGCATGTATCTGGCCTAAGGATTCCACATGCAAGAGATGTAGACATAACAGTTTGTTTTGCGTTTATATACGGTGTGTTGCTGTCTGGATGCATATTCTGTGTGATTGTGACAGAGCTGTTTTGTTTTTTGCTGAGTTATTTACAGATCTTACTGTTCCTCATCTGTGAAAAGTAGTCTGACAGTCTCTCTCTCACTCTCTCTGTCTCTGGGTGGGGTGAAGGAACTTCCTCTTTCTCTGCTGCTTGCTGAGGGAAGGTCACAGACTGTGTAGTTACTCAACCTCCCTCGACATATATATATATATATATGTGTGTGTAAGTGTTTGTGAGTGCTTGTCTGTCTGGTGCTTTCAGTCAGCAGACGGAAGATGCTGAAAGACAGGATGTTCTGTGTCCCTCGCTCAGACACACACTCATAATTAAGCGTAAAATGTACCTAGCCATTAAAGGGGTCATATGATGCGATTTCAATTTTTCCTTTCTCTTTGGAGTGTTACAAGCTCTTGGTGCATAAAGAAGATCTGTAAAGTCGCAAAGACTAAAGTCTCAAATCCAAAGAGTTATTCTTTATAAAAGTTAAGAGTCAGCCACACCTACCTAAAATGGCTCGTTCTAACACGCCCCCACATGTCTACTTCACAATGTGGGAAGATTTGCATCACGCCGCCCAAATGTTCACGCAAAGAAAGAAGGCGTAACTTTTATTCTCACTGTTGCCGCCGCTGCCATGTTGTGGAGTTGTAAAAGCGAAACTACTTTGTTTGGTCTTCCAAAAGAGGACACAACTAGAAATCAGTGGTTAAGTTGTATTTACAACACTGCTCCAGAACACTTCAACCCAAATATTCAGATGTGCATTTTATGGAGGATGGATGAGGACTGTTTCCTGAACCAGTAGCCTACTATGCGTCTGTGGCACAAAGGTTGTTTCTATAAAGTTGGGCAGTTCTAGCTTTGCAAGGACAGTCTGGCACTTCTGACTCAGCCTGTAAGTAAGTTTTTTTAATATTTAAATAATTTGCATCTGATGATTCAAACGGCGAGTTTTGAGCAGTGTAGAGTAGGCTTGTTGTTTGTTGTTTCTCCGATCACAAATGCAGACATGGTTTTATGTTTACGCAGCGTGATACACAACGCAACGCGTAAAAAGACAGTATAAGTCATTATAATCAGTAATTATGTCCCCACTGGATGCAACAAATGCCTCGTTTGTAATGGGTTTTCTTGGTTTTGTCTTGTCTAGTGATGTCCGGATCGCGAACCAATCGTTCTATTTAACCGGATCTTCTTAGTGAACCGGTCGAACCAGTTCACCAAATCGAACTGAAACGGTTCGCTTCTCCAGTACACACTAATCCACAAATTACTTAAGTTATTCGGTTTATAAATGTGCCTGACACTCCCACTGACGCGAAATAAACCAGTATCCCGAGTTATTCAGTTACTCCTAACAGTACATTGACTGAACTGCTAAAAGAGAACTGATGATGGGATGTGCATGAGCGGAG